TGGATCCTTGGAAAGAAACCTTGGTTAAAATGGGTCCTTGGAAAGAAACCTTGGTTAAAATGGATCCTTGGAAAGAAACCTTGGTTTAAAAATGGATCCTTGGAAAGAAACCTTGGTTAAAATGGATCCTTGGAAAGAAACCTTGGTTAAAATGGATCCTTGGAAAGAAACCTTGGTTAAAATGGATCCTTGGAAAGAAACCTTGGTTAAAATGGATCCTTGGAAAGAAACCTTGGTTAAAATGGGTTCTTGGAAAGAAACCTTGGTTAAAATGGGTCCTTGGAAAGAAACCTTGGTTAAAATGGGTTCTTGGAAAGAAACCTTGGTTAAAATGGATCCTTGGAAAGAAACCTTGGTTAAAATGGATCCTTGGAAAGAAACCTTGGTTAAAATGAGTTCTTGGAAAGAAACCCTGGTTAAAATGGGTTCTTGGAAAGAAACCCTGGTTAAAATGGGTCCTTGGAAAGAAACCTTGGTTAAAATGGGTTCTTGGAAAGAAACCCTGGTTAAAATGGGTCCTTGGAAAGAAACCTTGGTTAAAATGGGTTCTTGAAAGAACCTTGGTTAAAATGGGTTCTTGGAAAGAAACCTTGGTTAAAATGGGTTCTTGGAAAGAAACCTGGTTAAAATGGGTCCTTGGAAAGAAACCTTGGTTAAAATGGGTTCTTGGAAAGAAACCTTGGTTAAAATGGGTTCTTGGAAAGAAACCCTGGTTAAAATGGGTTCTTGGAAAGAAACCTTGGTTAAAATGGGTTCTTGGAAAGAAACCTTGGTTAAAATGGTTCTTGGAAAAACCTTGGTTAAAATGGATCCTTGGAAAGAAACCTTGGTTAAAATGGATCCTTGGAAAGAAACCTTGGTTAAAATGGGTTCTTGGAAAGAAACCTTGGTTAAAATGGGTCCTTGGAAAGAAACCTTGGTTAAAATGGGTTCTTGGAAAGAAACCTTGGTTAAAATGGATCCTTGGAAAGAAACCTTGGTTAAAATGGATCCTTGGAAAGAAACCTTGGTTAAAATGAGTTCTTGGAAAGAAACCTTGGTTAAAATGGGTTCTTGGAAAGAAACCCTGGTTAAAATGGGTCCTTGGAAAGAAACCTTGGTTAAAATGAGTTCTTGGAAAGAAACCTTGGTTAAAATGGGTTCTTGGAAAGAAACCTTGGTTAAAATGGGTTCTTGGAAAGAAACCTTGGTTAAAATGAGTTCTTGGAAAGAAACCTTGGTTAAAATGGGTTCTTGGAAAGAAACCCTGGTTAAAATGGGTCCTTGGAAAGAAACCTTGGTTAAAATGGGTTCTTGGAAAGAAACCTTGGTTAAAATGGGTTCTTGGAAAGAAACCTTGGTTAAAATGGGTTCTTGGAAAGAAACCCTGGTTAAAATGGGTCCTTGGAAAGAAACCTTGGTTAAAATGGGTTCTTGGAAAGAAACCTTGGTTAAAATGGGTTCTTGGAAAGAAACCCTGGTTAAAATGGGTTCTTGGAAAGAAACCTTGGTTAAAATGGGTTCTTGGAAAGAAACCTTGGTTAAAATGGGTTCTTGGAAAGAAACCTTGGTTAAAATGGATCCTTGGAAAGAAACCCTGGTTAAAATGGATCCTTGGAAAGAAACCCTGGTTAAAATGGGTTATTGGAAAGAAACCTTGGTTAAAATGGGTCCTAGGAAAGAAACCCTGGTTAAAATGGGTTCTAGGAAAGAAACCCTGGTTAAAATGGGTCCTTGGAAAGAAACCCTGGTTAAAATGGGTCCTTGGAAAGAAACCTTGGTTAAAATGGGTCCTTGGAAAGAAACCTTGGTTAAAATGGGTTCTAGGAAAGAAACCCTGGTTAAAATGGGTTCTTGGAAAGAAACCCTGGTTAAAATGGGTTCTTGGAAAGAAACCTCGGTTAAAATGGGTTCTAGGAAAGAAACCCTGGTTAAAATGGGTCCTTGGAAAGAAACCTTGGCTAAAATGGGTTCTTGGAAAGAAACCCTGGTTAAAATGGGTTCTTGGAAAGTAACCTTGGTTAAAATGGGTTCTAGGAAAGAAACCCTGGTTAAAATGGGTCCTTGGAAAGAAACCTTGGTTAAAATGGGTCCTTGGAAAGAAACCCTGGTTAAAATGGGTCCTTGGAAAGAAACCCTGGTTAAAATGGGTCCTTGGAAAGAAACCTTGGTTAAAATGGGTCCTTGGAAAGAAACCTTGGTTAAAATGGGTTCTAGGAAAGAAACCCTGGTTAAAATGGGTCCTTGGAAAGAAACCTTGGCTAAAATGGGTTCTTGGAAAGAAACCCTGGTTAAAATGGGTTCTTGGAAAGTAACCTTGGTTAAAATGGGTTCTAGGAAAGAAACCCTGGTTAAAATGGGTCCTTGGAAAGAAACCTTGGTTAAAATGGGTCCTTGGAAAGAAACCCTGGTTAAAATGGGTCCTTGGAAAGAAACCCTGGTTAAAATGGGTCCTTGGAAAGAAACCCTGGTTAAAATGGGTCCTTGGAAAGAAACCTTGGTTAAAATGGGTCCTTGGAAAGAAACCTTGGTTAAAATGAGTCCTTGGAAAGAAACCTTGGTTAAAATAACAAAGAAAGATTTTTTCCTGCAGTGTTTGTACAGAGATGGTGACTTTTAGTGGTTTTTGCATAAAGCCTCTGGTTGTGCAGAGTATTTTGGGCAAACTTAAGCCTAAGTTGAAATTACAATGGCAATAATTATTATTTGCTCATATAAGGACGTTGAAGATATACAAACATAAATTTAGGTATTACAGATGGAACAAACAGGTAGCACAAGTGCCATCAGCAACTCTGCATTTCTTTCGGCTCAGCTGGACAAATTGGTTAATATTTTGAAATGGATTTCATTGTTGTTGATAGTTTCGTAAATCTGAGAGCAGTGTTTTGAAACAAAAAATTGAACTGTTTTGTTTCTGCTAGTGGTACTGTGTAAATAATAGCACTACAGTAATAGCTAGAATAAGATACTGTACTATTCTGACCCTTCAAGGGGTCAGCTGCTAGTGAAGAAGGGGGGTTTTGATCCATGGAATTGGAGCTATGCTTCTTTTCCTGGAATCAAACAATAACAATGTTGATGTGAATGGTTTAGAAAATTGACGATGTTAGTTGCGTACATGACTGTATTTCGGATCTTTTATGACGGTAATTCAGTAATCGCAAACTACCAGTGTAAATATACTGTTCCTAATTGTCATACTGTTAATAAATATGTGTATTGTTGAGTAAAGTGTAACGAACACTTGTCAGTGCTCAATAATAGGCCACATGGAGACAGACTCAGGAGATTAGCTGATGTGGATATTTTGACCCCCTTCTGGTGTTCTCTTCAGAAAGGGTTGAAATATACAGATCAGTCAATCTCCTGTGTTTGTCTCCACATAGGTTATTATTGAGTACATGTATTGTTACTGAGGTTACCTGTGCCTATATTAATTGAGGAACAGTTTTGGGAAGAAGTGAAGTAGGTGCTACTGGAGTTGATGAATAAGATACTTGTGCAACAGTTGTGTATATTGTTGAACTGCTTCACTTACACAGTAGGTTTCTTCAGTCAGATACAGAGGCATCAGGTGTAGTAGTGAAAAGCTGATGATATAATCAGTCCATCAATCTGAGAGAAATAATATCTGAGGTGTTTAGTCCCTCAGCCAGGCCTCAAGTATTTGAGGCCTCAGATATCTGAGGTGTTTAGTCCCTCAGCCAGGCTGAGGGACTGACCACCTCAAATACTATTTCTCCAAAGTTGATGGACTGATTTCATCATCATGTTTTCACTACCACACCTGCTGCCTCTGTATTTGACTGAAGAAACCTACTGTGTAGGGGTAAACATTTAAAAAATCAAGATACCCAATTGCTGTACACGTGTCTTAATCATCAACTTGTCAGTATTTTACACCTTTTCAACACAACAGGAGGTAATACAGTGGTACCTTGAGTTTCGAACAGCTCCCAACTCGAACAATTATGTAAGTGTATTTTTGTAAGTGCTTTTGTAACTGTATTTTTGGGGGTCCGAAATGGATTAATCTAATTTACATCATTTCTTATGGGAACAAGTTTGCTTGGTATCAGCACTCGAACAGCCTTCTGGAATGAATTAAGTTCGTAACTCGAGGTACCACTGTACTAGTAGAGGGGTGGTAATATGGCATCCCAGTAATGGTACACACGCTATCTGTAATTAATTACATAGATCATTGCTCCATGGCACGGTGCCAGACCAGGCGTCCTGCTTGATGGCTTGAGTATTGTTTATTGCATACGTAATTGCTTCCATTACAAGTTTGGTAATAAAGTCAGAATTACCGACAGTATGTTAGGTAAAAGGACATAAGTGCAACTAATGTGACATTTTATTGTGGCAACGTTTCGCTCTTCAGGAACTTTGTCAAATTGTTAGGAGCTTTGTCAAGCTGTTAGAAGCTTATCAAGCTGTTAGGAGCTTTGTTAAGCTGTTAGGAGCTTTGTTAAGCTGTTAGGAGCTTTGTCGAGCTGTTAGAAGCTTTGTCAAGTTAAAAGTTTTGTGAAGCTGTTAAGAGCTTTGTCAGGCTATTAGGCTTGACAAAGTTCCTTGGGAGCAAAATATTGCCACAATAAAATGTCACATTAGTCGCACATGCGTCCGTTTACCTAACATTATTAGCTTATTGTAAAAGTTTCTTCCCCCGTGTAAAGTAGTCTTGCAGGCTCAGCTTAGCTTTGTAAGACATTATACTTGGTACAGGAGGACCGGCATATATACCATGTTTTTGGTATTCCACATTTTCATTGCCTTCAAATTGAGCCATTGTTCATTATGTTTTATGCGCCGGCGAGTGTCACCAGCCTGTGGAACAATGGCTCAATTGATAGCCAATGAAAATGTGAAACAGCAAAAATAGGTGCTGTACATGCAGGGTGTCCTGTATGTTAAATGCTGCTTCTTATTCGTACTTGCATGGAAGAGCACCTAAATATTTGGGTGCGTTTGAGTGAAAGTCCATCGATGATGATGATTGGTTTCATCCTCAGGGTTACCAGCACATGGTTGGGTCCAGCAGCATCATGGTAGCCACATGCGAATGCGGAAGGAGTCGGGTAAGTCATTTGTTAGGGCGAGCTTTATCTGAACTCGTCACTGTGCTGGTACTTGATTGTTTGTGATGTTCCCTTCTTCCTAGTCCACTCCATTGTGTTCAGTTCCTTACTGATAAATAGAAAAATTAACCCTTTGCATGACAGTAATTTTTGTTATGACTCACGAAATCGTGACAACATGATTGCAAACAAACAGATGGGGTTAGAACCCCTGGCTCACTCACCATAGGTTCTAACCCCAAGCTGTTCTATAGTTTAGTATTTTTTTAATTTGTTAGTACAGTATTTTCTGCTCTCCTAATGATGTTTAGAACATCAGATTTGATATATTATTTTGAGACTAGTATTAGGGAAAGCATAACGGCATTGATTTTAAGACTGTATGTAATGAGACTTTAAATTAGGTATAGGACAATGCTTCATGTATTCACTACCACTGTGATAGATACTTAAAGGTACAATACAGAGAGGAAGTTTATTTTCTGCCTAAGTATTGCATAGAAGATTATTTAAAAGCATTTCTGCATGTCGTAAAAGGTGACTAAGATGCCAGGAGCAAGGTGCTAGTAACCCCTTCCCCTCCTCAGTAGTGAAGAGCATTAGATTTATGTTACACAAAATTTATTTAAGATAGTGTATGCAAGGCCTTAATTCTTTGGAACATTAGATGAAAAGTAAGTGAGGAACAATTGGACAGTTTATGCTACAATATTAGTCCTCCACCAACATTCTTAACCCTCAGACTGTCCAAACGTAGATCTACGTTTGCTCGCGTAGCGCTCCAAACATAGATCTACGTTTTTTTACATTCTTATGGAGAAAATCAAGGTCAGAGTGCTACGCGCACAAACGTAGATTTACGTTTGGATAGTTTAAATACTTGTACAAGGTGAGTACAGATAGGAAGCGCATCTGTCACGCACTCAGTAGACTGAGGATCAAGCCTCCACCATATCTTGCACTCAGTGACCCATGTGGGTTTAGTGCTTATGAATTATTATTATTATTATTATTATTATTATTATTATTATTATTATTATTATTGTAACTTTAAAGAGAAATTGACAAGAGATTTTATTGATTATAAATAACGTACAGTCCTAACAATACGATAAAATTATTTTAGTTTGCAGGATTTTAATGCGATATAAAATATTTGGGTAAAAACATCAGTGAATCTAATTTAGGTTGGAGAGCATCAGACAAAGGGTTAATTTTTTTATTTGTGATGCAGAACAAGCCACACGGGGATGGGAATCTTTAGCCAAAGATCTTTTGCACTCTGTGCATCATTAGGAGCTATGCAGTGTTGCAAGAGTAGCAGTAGATAGCAGGGAGAAAATTCTCTCTGAGGCAAGGCAGATGTGTAAAGTGTTGGTCCATGTCACAGTGTGAAAGATCTTGAACTAAAGATTTCTATATTCTTGTGGCTTGTTCTGAATTGTTAAGATCGCCTGTTTGTGATTGTTGCATTTTTATTTATGTATTTTGTCGTAAATTGCTGCACGTATATGTGTGTACTCTCCTTAATGTATTGACACGTTTTCCTAATTTTCCGTCACCCGTTATTCAATCATATCTACTAGTGTGTGTTGTGTTGTGTTGTGTTGTGTTGTGTGTGTTGGTTGTTGTGTTGTGTTGTGTTGTGTGTTGTGTGATGTGTTGTGTGTTGTTGTGTGTGTGTTGTGTGTATGTTGTGTGTGTGTTGTGTGTATGTTGTGTGTGTGTTGTGTGTGTGTTGTGTGTTTGTGTGTTGTGTGTGTGTTGTGTGTGTGTGTGTGTGTGTGTGTGTGTGTGTTGTGTTGTGTGTGTTGTGTGTGTGTGTGTGTGTGTGTGTGTGTGTGTTGTGTGTTGTTTGTGTGTGTGTGTGTGTGTGTGTGTGTGTGTTAGTTATCGTACCTTATATTTTTACTCTCTTTTTTGTGAATTAAGATTGTGTCTTCTTCATGTTGTCAGTTCCAAAACTTTTTCCAGGTCTTTTCTCATAACATCTTGTAAAGTAATTGATGATTATCATATTTCCTCTTTGTTTTCTGTCTTCACAGTCGGGTTGGGTCAGGTTAGTCTTTTATCCGAGGGGGTTTTGTCTGGTGTGGCTTGTGCCCATCACCTGCCATTTTTATATACTGGATAAACCTTATTTAACTTTCTATTGCTTGATCTAAAGCAACATTGCATGTTTGCATAAATTATGAACACTTCCATCCATTTAAATTCAAAATAAATTAGCAGACACACTTTTCTCACCTTGTTTTCTGCAGTCATTCTTGCCACACAGCAGTTACTGGTAAACACTGCTGCTGCTGCTGAGTACAGTGGAACCTCAAATATCGAACTTTCTTTGGTCCAGAAGGCTGTTTGAGTGCCTTTACCGAATGAATTTATTCCCATGAGGAATAATGTAAATTAGGTTAATCCATTTCAGACCCTCAAAAATACACTTATAAAAGCACTTACAAAAATACACTTACATAATTGGTTGTGCTGGGAGCAGTTCAATTTTTGAGGTTCCACTGTAGTTTACTGCATCACCAGGTCGAGACATATGAGTCAGTCTCCTCACATGTACTGCCTTTCTTCACCTTCAGTAAAGAGGTACCTGGGTGTTTGTCAACCATTATTGGGTCACTTGGGGAATGGTCAGGTACAGGAGAGCACCATGTATACAGCACCTTTTTGATGTTCCACGTTTTCGTTGGCTTCAGATCGAGCCATTGTTCAGGAACAATGGCTCAATTGAAAGCTAATGAAAACATGGAATGCTGAAAATGGTATAAAATACCCAGAAGTTGAAGATTAAGACACATGTGCAACAGTTGGGTATCTTTATTATTGAAACATTTCACCTACACAGTAGACTTCTTCAGTCAAATACAGAGGCAGCAAGTGTGGTAGTGAAATAAAGATGACATAATCAGTCCATCAACCTTGGAGAAATAGTATTTGAGGTGGTCAGTCCCTCAGCTCCATGAAGCTGAACTCTTCTCCAGGCTGAGGGACTGACCACTCCAGATACTGTTTCTCTAAGGTTGATGGACTGATTACATCATCTTTATTTCACTACTACAACTGCTGCTTCTGTATTTGACTGAAGAAGCCTACCGTGTAGGTCAAATATTTCATCAACATAGATACCCAATTGTTGTACATGTGTCTTAATCGAAAATGTGGAGCACCGAAGAGGTGCTGCATGTGCAGGGCCATAGCTGTGTACTATAAACAACTGAACAACTTTGTTGTCTCTCAAATGACCCAGTGATGAAGTGTGTCCATGGAACAGTAGGCTGCTATTACCTCTAGCCGCCTCCCCTTAAAAATAGATATTGGAATGTGAAATCATCGACCGTTTGGAGTTTGTTGCAGATGGTGTCCTTTCATGAGTGTGTATGTGTCTGTCTGTCTCTGTCTGTCTCTGTCTGTCTCTGTCTGTCTGTCTCTGTCTGTCTGTCTCTGTCTGTCTCTGTCTTGTCGTCTGTCTCTGTCTGCTGTTTCTCTGTCTTTCCTCCCTCCCTCCCCCCTCCCTCCCTCCCTCCCTCCCTCCCTCCAGTAGTTATAGCACTTGCTGCCACTACCTCCTCTAGCACCGTGTCTATACATGACTGCCACTATTTATTTTGTGCCTGTGTGCATGACTTTCTCTGTAATTACCTACTTAAGCTGCTCTTGTGTGTTGCTGTATGTGAGTCGTGCTGCTATTTAAGAGTGTCTAATTTATAGTTTTTTTTTTCCCTTAGGGATAGTAGCACTCACCTATTTGTGTTTGCAGGGGTTGTGTCACAGCTCCTGGCCCTGCCTAGTGTGTGTTGTGTGTGTGTGTGTGTGTGTGTGTGTGTGTGTGTGTGTGTGTGTGTGTGTGTGTGTGTGTGTGTGTGTGTGTGTGTGCACTGATGTGTGTGCACTGTATGTGTGTAAGTTCACCTATATGTGGTTCCAGGGGACAAGTCTCAGCTCCTGGCCCTGCCTCTTCACTGGCTGCTACTAGGCTCGCTCGCTCTCTCTATCTTGGCTTCGAGAGCCTTATTGTACCTGTTCTTTAAGCTATGTATGGATTCTGCCTCTACTATCTCACTCTCCAGGTCATTCCACTTCTTGATTAAGACTGAAGAAATACTTCCTAATGTCCCTATGACTCATCTGAGTCAGCTCTGCCCTCGTGTTCCTGTTTCCCATCTCAAACAGTCTGTCCCAATTCATTCAGTCAATTCTTTTCAGTATTTTGTATGTTATCATGTCACCCCTTAGTCCTTCTGTCCTCCAGTGCCATTAGATAGAGTTCCCTTAACCTCTTCTCATAGGACATACCCCTTAGCACTGGGACTAGTCTTGCTGCAAACTTCTGCACTTTCTCCAATTTCTTGATGTGCTTGACAAGGTGTGGGTTCCATACTGGTGCTGCATACTCCAATATGGGCCTGACGTACACGGTGTACAGAGTCTCAAATGATTCCATACTCTGGTGTTGAAATGCTATTCATAGGTTTGCCAGTCACCCATATGCTGCAGCAGTTATTTGGTTGATGTGCACCTCAGGTGATATGCTTAGTGCAATATTTATCCCAAGGTCCTCATTGAGTGAAGTTTGCAGCCTTTGCCTCCTGAGCCTGAACTCCATTGGCAGTAGTCTTTGCCCTTCCCCAAGCTTTATAACCTTGCACTTAGTGGTGGTTAAACTCCATAGCCACTTACTAGATCAGACTTGCAGCCTGTCCAGATCCATTTATAGCCTTTTATGTTCCTTGTTTGTTTTTTCCTCATTAGTTTTACATCGTCCACATACAGGGATACCTCTGACACTATACCTTCTTTCATGTCATTCCTGTATACAAGAAATAGTACCGGCCATAGTACTGATCCCTGTAGAACCCCATTCTGACATCTCGTCATTTACCATGACTCATTGTTTCCTTCCTGTCAGGTATGCAATATTCCATTGTAGTGCTTTTCCTGTTATTCCTGCTGCTCCTCTAGATTTTGTACCAAGTCTCTTGTGCTGTACTGTG